GGTTTCTTTTTTCTCATTCTACATTATAGTGTTTTTAGAGGTTGTTCCTCTAAATATGTTTATGGAAAATAGAAGGATGACGGAACAAATACTACAAGGGACTATCTGCTATTTTATAAGAAAGGCATGGACATGTGCTTTGTGATTTGAAAGGAAGGAGTAACATTGATAGTTTTGCAGTGTGCTTTTGTGATACTGCACTTGTTAGATGTGGTTATTAGGTGAAAAAATTTGTTGCAGAGTACTCACATTGGGGTTGGCTTCATCTTTATTATACCATACTTCACATTATTAAAATTTATATCTGATATATGTTTTTAATTTTTAAAAAAATTTAATTTTTTTAAAATTCACAGATTTAAAAAAATTATTTTAAATTCAGCGGTGCATGTGCAGGTTTGTTATATAGGTTAACTTGTGTCATGGGGGGTTTGGTGTTCAGATTATTTCACCATTCAGATATTAAACCTGGTACCACTTAGTTATTTTTCATGATCCTCTTTCTCCTCCCAAAGATGGCTCCCCAGTGAATGCTTCCTGACATTTACACTCTTGTACAGTAATTTTCAGTACAGGGTGTCACTCTGTCACTCAGGCTGGAGGACAGTGGTGCAGTCACAGCTCACTGCAGCCTAGACTTCCTTGGGCCCAGGTGATTCTCCCACCTCAGCCTCCAGAGTAGCTGGGACTGCAGGCCTGCACCACTATGTCTGGCTGTTTTTTTGTATTTTTAGTAGAGACAGGGTTATGCCATGTTGCCCAGGCTGGGACCACCAACTGCTTTTTGTTTTGTTTTGTTTTTTGAGACAGGGTCTCCCTCTGCTGCCCAGGCTCAATGCAGTGGCATGATCACGGCTCACTGTGACCTCAACATCCTGGGCTCCAGTGATCCTCCCACCTTAGCCTTCCAGGTAGCTGGGACTATGGTCTACAGGCCTGTACCACTGTGCCCTGCTAATTGTTGTATTTTTTGTAGATATGGAGTTTCACCATGTTGGCCAGGTTGGGTCTTCAACTTCTGGGCTCAAGCAATCAGCCTGCTTCAGCCTCCCAAAGTGCTAGGTGTACAGGCATGAGCCACTGTGCCCGGCCTAACCCGCTCTTTTATTCAAGTCTCCCTTCAAACATTGTTTCCCTGAGGAGAAGCAGGTACTCTCTTTCCTCTACCTCCATGGGTACTCCTATGTACCCCTGTTGTAGCCCAACCATAATGTAATTTAATGTTCTCTAGGGGCCCATGAGAGAAAATCATGTGTCTTTTTGTTTTCATATCCTTAGATGTGGCACAAGTGCAACCTTAAAAGGTTAGTAATATTCACCAAACAAATACTTAGCTGAATGCTTAATTTCTATGAAACAATGCTTATTCTCCAGGTATTAGGCATTATGCCAGTGATAGATATGCAGACATAAATAGGGCAAGATCCTTGTCCTCAAGAAATGCCATCTGAGGTGGGGTGGGAAAGCAGATGAGAGACAACAGGATTAGATCGTGAAGGAACAGATTCTATATCATTTACAGCTAACGGATGCCAGCATTTATGCTATTCACTTTTTTAAAAAGAGGTGAATTAACAGTAGTTAAAAATTCTAACTTAACTTACCCATTAATAAGAGCAGTTTTGTTATGAATTTTCCCCCTTGAGGAAATGTATTCTTATAGACCCAGATGTCAAGCTGTCATAGAATCTTGTGATGTGAGGAGATGAGCATTGTCTATAGGTTTCAAGTGATTTACTCTAAGTAGGGAGCTTGCGTCAATCGTAGGCGGAACCTTGGGAGTCAGAATTGCATCAGTTGTCTGAATTGAATTACTTTGTCTGTGCTTTCTGAATTTTGAGATTAAGGTTTAAAATGAAAATCTTGGCTGTTGACTTGTAGCATATTTGTAAAAGTTGAAGTAGTCTTTTCTTAGTTTTAATATTTTCAAATCTAATAGTTTTTTCTTCCTTTCTGATCTTGTGCAGTTTAACAGTTCTGGGAATAAAAATCTTTATTCGTTAATTGAATATTACGGGTTTATATAGAACTGCACAAAGAGTAGTTTGTTGCCTATGGTGAACTTACCTAGTTGTTATTTTCTGGATGATTTTTCGGGATCCTGGCATTAGACACAGAACATAAGCTTACACTGTATTGTCTTTACATTTGTGTGCACCGTAACTGTGAGGGCCTTTTCAATGTTATGAGAAATGCAAGTTAGAAAAACTTCTCTTTTTCTCTTCAATGCATGTGGACTCGAAGTCTTTTGAAAATACAATTCTTCAAAGTTGTTTTTTTTGTTTGTTTTTTTGTTTTTTTTTTTGAGATGGAGTCTTGCTCTGTCACCCAGGCTGGAGTGCAGTGGCCAGATCTCGGCTCACTGCAAGCTCCGTCTCCCAGGTTCACGTCATTCTCCTGCCTCAGCCTCCCGAGAAACTGGGACTACAGGCACCCGCCACCTCGCCTGGCTAGTTTTTTGTATTTTTAGTAGAGACGGGGTTTCACCATGTTAGCCAGGATGGTCTTGATCTCCTGACCTCATGATCCACCCGTCTCGGCCTCCCAAAGTGCTGGGATTACATGCTTGAGCCACCGCGCCCGGCCTCTTCAAAGTTTAAAAGCAATCCATGGAATATTTTCAGTGGCATATGGAATATTGTAGTTCAGCATATATGGTTAGTTTATAGGAATTTTTATTTATTCTGTATTTAGTTTTTAATAAGAATTTCATAACTGGAAGATTTCATAGCAACAAAAGACTGTCTTTGAATGTGTATGTAAATTTAACTTGTATGTTAGAGTTTTCTAGTTAAAACATAGTGGTGGTGATGTAAGGATTTGGCATAGAAAGAAGTTTTAGTGAAGGCAGTGGGAATTAGTGTTAAGACAGAGTAATCAGACCAGGAGAGTATGGTTTGATAAGCCAAAAGAGATGAGAGTTTTAGGAGGAAGGGTTGATTAATAGTGTCAAATTAAAGGAAAAACAGCAAACAAGGTTAAGTAAGATAAGGACAAAACAGTATATATTGGTTTAAGTATTTATGAGAGCAGTTTCAACAGAGCAGTCAGAACAGGAGCCTAATGGCAGTGAATATTATCTATCTTGTTTTCTCTTTTACACTAGAGAACTGGACAGATAAGTACTGGTATTATCAATTCTGGCTGACATTATTGTTAGTGAATACAACATATGTTGAAGAGCAGTCTTGTAAACCTGGCAATGTGAGATGAGTGGTGATATTTTTATCTTAATAGGTGACTTTCTCAACAAGTCTTGAGCATCCAATTGATGAAACCAAAATGAATATGAAATGCTTATTAATAAAGGGACTCCTTCCCACTTAGGTTTTCTACTTATTTTCCTATCACTTTGATTTTCAGAAGTTCTTTGTCAAACTGACTTCTTGGCTACCACAAATTTTAGACTCTATAGTAAGCTCTTAAAGAATATTAGATGTGCTTTGACTATTTTAAAAATAATATTATTCACTCTGTTCGTTTGCCTCACTTCTGGCTGGGAGGAACACTCAGGGAATGATAAAGGTAGGAAAGCAACTAAGCTGTAGACAGCCTACATTGCTCTGTACTCTAATGGGGCGCTAGCAAAGTGACCTTCTTTTCCCAGTCCTGACTGATTTGCAGGACTTCCAAATGAGATGAAGTAAATGGGGTAAGAAGATATGAATATGTAAACGACATGTATTGATTTCAACCAATGTCAAAGGAGAAGCAATAGAGTGACTTTAGGTAGAAGCTGTCTTTAATATGAAGGCCAAAATCTTTTATATGTGTTATAGTCCTCTTTGGCACATAAATTCCCTCATTTTTCCTCAGATCATCCTCAAGGGGGGATCTTGTGATCACATGTGATCCTGCTTCTTATTACTATGGAATACATTGTGCACACTTATTTATTTTTCATTATAATATCCAGCACTATAAGGTGGAACTCCTTTTGCCAGGGCATCAGGGAGTGATTATATATGGAGAAAACTTAACAGTAACCTTTAATTTTATCTCATCAGATTCCTACTCCATTCTTGGCTGCCCTCACTTTTGTGGGTGAAAGAATGCAAATCATTCCACAGTTCTGCCATTATTATTTTCTTGTTTTGTCTCCTTTTCCCTGGGGTCTAGCTGACCTGCGTGTCTTTCCCTGAGAATGCTAATGTGAGCCTTTTGTTTCCACCAGATAGCTTGATGCCTCTCCCCGCTCATGTACCATAGATTTCCTCTCTGGTTTATATTTTCCACTTAATACATGCATTTCGATAAGAAGTAAGATGATAATATGGATGGTATATGGACATACTATGTAGGCAACTTGGATATTCTATGAAGAATGGGGAAATCATTAAGAAAAAGAAAAATATATTATTTGTGATAACTACTGCAAGGCTATTGAAAGGTGAACAGCTAGATTAGCAACATTTAAAAAGCTGATGCTCTGAGAGTTAGGGGGAAGGAAGGGATAAACAGGACTTTTAGGGCAGTGAAATGCTCTAGGTGATATGATAAGTGTATACATGTCATTATACATTTGTTTAAGCCCACAGAATATGCAATATTAAGAGTGAACCCTAATGTAAACCATGGACTTTGGATGATAATAATGCATCATGTAGGTTCACAGATTGTAATAAATGTACCACACTGGTGGGGGATGTGATAATGGGGCAGGCTGTGCGTGTGTGGGGGCAGAGAGATATGGGAAATAACTGTGCCTTCTGCTCAATTTTGCTGTGAATCTAAAACTGGTCTAAAAATATGTAGTCTATTTAAAAACAAACAGAAAGGTTCATGTTCATTAACATTTTAGAAGCATCCCAAAGATGAACTGAAATTTACTTTTTCTGATTCAAGATGAGTGAATTAACCTATGTGAAAATTTGTGGATCCAAGAGAAATAACCTTTGTTACTTCACTCAGTAGTTACTCTTTTGATGAGCACTTAAAAAGCTGTAAATTCAATTATTTATATTAGACTTCACTAACATTTGCTTCCCATTTACCTCTAGGTTTGAAGTTTGAGGAAATTCAAGAAAGATTTGGTGAAGAGTTCTTTAATATATGCTTTCATGAGAATGAGAGAGTCCTTCGAGCTGTAGGTGGCACTTTGCAGGACTTTTTTAACGGCTTTGATGCTTTATTGGAACACATTAGAACTTCTTTTGGAAAACAGGCCACTCTGGAGTCACCATCTTTCCTATGCAAAGAGCTTCCTGAAGGCACTCTCATGCTCCACTACTTCCACCCTCACCATATTGTGGGGTTTGCAATGCTGGGGATGATTAAGGCTGCAGGAAAGAAGATCTATCGGCTGGATGTGGAAGTGGAACAGGTTGCAAATGAGAAGCTATGCTCTGATGTTTCAAACCCAGGCAATTGTAGCTGTCTTACTTTCCTTATCAAAGAATGTGAAAATACTAATATCACGAAGAACCTTCCACAGGGAACCTCCCAAGTTCCTGCGGACCTCAGAATTAGCATCAACACCTTCTGCAGAGCCTTCCCTTTCCACTTGATGTTTGATCCCAGCATGTCAGTCCTTCAGCTGGGGGAAGGTCTAAGGAAGCAGCTTCGATGTGACACTCACAAAGTGCTCAAGTTTGAGGACTGCTTCGAGATTGTATCTCCAAAGGTTAATGCCACCTTCGAAAGGGTCCTACTGCGACTGTCTACCCCGTTTGTGATTAGAACCAAGCCTGAGGCTTCTGGCTCTGAAAATAAAGACAAGGTAAGTGGCTATGGACTTGAGATGGGAGATAGGAACCAGAAGAGTGGATAATTATTTCAGTAAATTATATGGTGGCTGTACTTGTAATTATTTAGGCAAGAGAGCTCAAAGTGCCATTTAGAAGATTACTGGTCCCTGGATGTATGTAAAAAGATTTGGCCCCATTCTCAGCCATTTTGCATAGTGTCTACCTCCTCCATTAATTTATTTCAGCGTATATAAAGAAGACATTTATTAATACTAGCTATAGCAATTACAAAAATGACAGAACTCACTAAAAACCTGATAATATAAACTCATGAATATTTCCACTGACTAGTCAAATTATAAGATATAGCATTTCAACATTGTGGGGCATGACTGCAATATCTTTAAATATAGATGCTAAAAGTTACCTTCACTTTGAATATGTTCTTTTCTAAATTTCATAATCTAGGAACATCTGGTTTACATCCTATTTTTGTCTTAATATGCAGAATAATGTATTCCCCAGAAGTGGAGGATTGACTGTCTCAAGACTTCTTTTCTATTTAAATTTTAGTATTAAAATAGAGATTCATTGCTTTAGAACATGATCATTAGTTGAGAGAATAAAGTGAAGCCTAGGAAATTTTTTGTGGATTTCTTTGAATTCTTTTGGGAAATCTGGATTATGAATTATGAATAATTGATGAAAAGACAACAGAAATAAATCTTAAAATATTTGGGTTTAAATGAACATTTTGTCCCTCAGGTAAAATATTTTAAAAAGTCAACATTAAAATAGATAATAAAATATAAAGAAAAATAAACCATGACTTTTTACATTTAGTAATATACTTTCAGTGATTAAAGGGAAGAAATAACATTAATTTCCAGGCAGAAATTTGTACAGTCATTCAGTTTCCAGTAAAGTGTCTTTTCAACATTTTGTACCAGGGTAAATAAAGTTCTTTTAGGCTATTCAGCCTGTTTCCAAGCATTTGGGGGAAGCTATTAGCTATTAGAAATGACAGGTTGCTCTGGGCTAAAGGAAAGAAGAGTTGTGGAAGTAATTAAAGACTCTGTGAAAATAATTTATACATATTCTGGAGTAATATAAATAAATGAGGAAATAGCCCTTTGAAAGCAGCGCTTAACGTGTTTTTGAGGATTTTATACAGGATTCGTTTCATGATTGATGATTTTTATAATTTTGAAGTTCAATGAAGTTTTTAAAAAAAAAAATTAGGGAAGGATGGCTGGATGCGGTGGCTCACACCTGTAATCCCAGCACTTTGGGAGGCCAAAGTGGGTGGATAACCTGAGGTCAGGAGTTTGAGACCAGCCTGGCCAACATGATGAAACCCCATCTCTACTAAAAACACACAAAAAAATGAACTGAGTGTGGTGGCGGGTGCCTGTAATCCTAGCTACTCAGGAGGCTGAGGCAGGAGAATCGCTTGAACCCGGGAGGCAGAGGCTGCAGTGAGCCAAGATTGTGCCACTGCACTCCAGCCTGGGTGACAAGAGTGAGACTCTGTCTCAAAAAAAAAAAAAATTATTTGAGAATGATAGAAAGATGCACATTTATTCAATATGACTAAATCAGGTGGTTTAGGAAATTAATAATGTTTTTATCATGCAAGTTCAGTGATTTGAAAGTAAGGATAGACCTGGATTCCAGTTTGGCACATTTGGATATTTTAGTCTGAATGAATTAGTATTATTTGATCATATGATGTTTTAAATACAAATTGTCACATATGTATATTATATGTATGCTTAATAATTGCTACCCATTTTGAAATCCTTTAGAATGGAAGAAACTTGTTAAATGTGTATTTTTGTTCACATTTGTAGTTGCTTTAAAAGGAGTTATTCTCTCTAATTTAGGGAATATCAAAACTCTCAGTTCTGTTTTACAGAAGTACAATATTTGGTTAGGAGAATTTGAAGCATTTTTGGCCTTTAGAATTGAAGTTGGTATTTTTGTAAATATGTCTGAACTAGAATATATTATTATCAATGTTGTTGCTTTATATATTTTATCGATTTGGGAAAAATTAATTCATTTTAAAATTACTGCTTCATGTTTTTTCCCCTTATATTTCATTTGGCTTCTATTTCTATTTAATTTGTATACCAGGGTAAGAAATAGACATAATGAAATGATGACTCAAATGTCAAGGCCCCCTGCCAATTCCAATAATAAGGAACTGTGCTCATTGAGGAGATGCAATTATCATTTAAACATGTTAGTGGCAGCTTAAAAATAAAGTAATAGGCAGGATTTTTAGTTAAAATAAGGATAGAAATCTACTCATCCTCATATTTATTTCTGCTTACTCACCTGAGTTTGCCAGAATGGGACATTTGGGAGGTTACAGCTGCCCCGTATTGATACTATAGTCAGTAAAGTTGTCACATACAGTCTTACCTAGATGAATAACATTTTAAAATTAGTATGTCATCAAATTTCACATTTACAGTTTATTAAAACATGGAAAGAAGAAAAATAATATGTAAAAATTGTGTTTTTGTTGATAAATTTGACTTTGTCGTCATTATTTTCCCCATAATAGCTGTTCTTGTTAATGTGTACCTCTGTGATGTCTGAAGTCTCTAATTTTTTAGTTGACTTTTATAAGAAAATGCTATTTTAAAATAATTTATATTTATTCCTTATTCTAATATTGAGGGCTCTTATAATTTAACTGTTTTGTCTGTGCATTTAATACCAATGAACCACTATGTCTGCCATAAAAAAAATCAAGAGCTAATCATGTAGCTGTATGACAGTTAATCATTTGCAGGTTGAACTGCAATGCTTTTGATAAACCATAATCTTTCTCATTTTCTGTTATCAGTCACAGGTTAGTTGTATGACTAGAGGTAGAAAACGCTCACGAATGATTTAGTGAGATGGAAATGAATGGAAAGCCATTGTCCTAGCCTCCAAAGTATTTACATCTTTATCTTGCTGTAATGAGCTGTAAAGATGCAAGGGTTGGTCATCAGAAGCAAGGATGTCACTGAGGGGCATCTGACGCAGTTATCAGTGGCAGGCTTCAACAGTCTTGAGGTTAGACTTCCAATGGCTTGTCCAAGTTTTGATTCCATCACTTGCTTTCCTCTACATTTTCTCTAAGTCATCATCCATGCCTCACATATTCTTCTCTCTGCCTGTCTATTTTCTTCCCCCCTTCCCTTATAGTATTCCTGTGTTTTCATCTTTCCCTGAACTCAACTTCCTTTCATCATCTTCTTTCCTTATCAGATGTCAAACATTAAGTATGAATGAATTGGTTGTTTTTAAAAAACCCAACAGATTCAGTATAAAGACTGAATTAATCCATGTTAATTTGTGTTGTGTATCTCTTTTACCCCATTTATATCAAATATTGTTCTGAGAATTTGGAAATGTATTGCATAGATCTTTTGAATTATAGGACATTGTGGTAAATTTGAGATGAATTTTTTTTTTTTGCAGCTTAATGAGCAGTTTGCAGATTAATAGTTAGTCCATGTAAACATAACCCACTCATATAGATTACAAAGATTCTTTGTATAGAGTGAATCTCGTTTGAGTGAATAGTGTTGTTAGAAATGAGAGTAATAGCACATAGCTTCCTTCTCTGCCAGGTAAGGTCATGATGTGTGGTCAAAGTATCAACAGACTGGGAGGGAGGTGTCTCTGACAACCGTGATCTTAGTAAATCTTTTTAGTGTTTGAGCCTCAGTTTTATACATTGGAAATTAATGAACCTAGGCAAATTAATATTTTTACTCCTTTACAAATCATACTTAACATATATACATATATATGAGATCAATTGATCATGAAGGTTTTTTTCTTTTTTTCTAATTTTTTTTTTTTAATTTTTATTTTGGAGATGGAGTCTTGCTGTGTCTCACCCAGGCTGGAGTGCAGTGGTGCGATCTCAGCTTGCTGTAACCTCCACCTCCCCAGTTCAAGCGATTCTCCTGTCTCAGTCTCCCGAGTAGCTGAGACTACAGGATTGTACTACCACACCCAGCTAGTTTTGTACTTTTAGTAGAGACTGGGTTTCACCATGTTGGCCAGACTGGTTTCAAACTCCTGACCTCAGGTGATCCACCCACCTTTTCCTATCAAAGTGCTGGGATCACAGGTGTAAGCCACCACACCTGGCCATGAAGCTTTCTTTCATCTCTCTGTTTCAATGAATTCAGATGCATTTTAAAAGAGAGGTGCGGAGAATCTGACTTATCTACCATGAAGGGCTCATCTTGTCATTAAGAATTAGTTAAAATAATTCTCTGACAGTTTAGGCTGCCTACCTCAGAAAGTTATTTGGGAGGATTAAATGACATAATCCATGTAAAATTCTTAGCATCTTTGACCCCAGGGTTAAGCACTGCATAGATGTTCATTATTACTTCTACTGCTATTATTGTTTGTGTTCTTTTCCACCTATAACATTCTCCCTATTTATTTCCCTATTCACTTACTACATTATAGACGAAAGCACCAGGTATCAGTAGGTTTGATAATTTTAGAGAAATATTGAGCTCACCTAACATCTTCCTAAAATATGCCTTGGACCCTGCTGCTTGTCTCCTTAATAAAGACTAGAAGACCACTTGTCACACATTCTATAGGAGCTCTGTTTGGATCTGCATTTTATTTACATACTATCATTGTTTTAAAATCTCTGGTCTCTTTGTCAGATTCACGAAGGTTTGGAATCAAGTTTTCATTACTTGTATCTACTAATGTCTTTTATGTTCATTTATTGGAGGATTGTGCAGTGACTTCCAAAATAAAATGGATGTGTTAACTTAGGCACAACCTGAAGAGCAATGAATTTTGAGAAACAATAAATAACATGAGTTCTTTTGACATTTTTTTTTTTAGTAGCAACGCTTGAGAGAACTTTAATAACACCTTGGAAGGAGCCCAGCATTTGAAATACATCATCCCTGCGACAGAGCAATAGCATTGTTATTCATCTTCACTTTTGTTCTCAGGGTTGGAACTGAGGAAAAGCATAACAACA